AACATATTTGAGATAAGTTGACAGTTAATATTACTGTATTTAATATTAATATAAATTATATTAATATATATATATATTTTTTGTTAAACGATAAAATGAATCCATTGCTGGATTCGTGTAATTATTGCTGTACCAAACTGTCTCATCGGCTTAAACCTAATAACTGTCGCATACGGAGTCATTTTATTTTAATATTGTTTTTATTATAATATATTATGTTAATGTATTTAAACAGCGCTCGGGCGCCAAACTGGTGGTCAGCGACGATATGCCTAGAAGTATTCGAAAAAAAAAATTTCTGTAACATTTTTAGTCTTCTAGGAGTTTACTACACCTAACTAATCCGAACAAACCTCGAGCTGTAGGAGCTTTATTACGACTTTGATATAGTTCAAAAAATTAAAATTTAGCAACTTCGCTGGCTTGGTCATATCGCGAGAATGGATAACAGAAGTTGGAAAACCCAGGTGTAAACATAGACATAAACCAATATTTCAATTGTCAAATAACATAAAGCAGCTGTTAATTAAATTAATTAAATTAATTAACTAATTTTCTTTAAACTAGTAATATATCTAAAGTGTTATGAATTCATCCCGGAAATTATATATTTTGCCTGAGCTTACTTAATCAAAATAAGAACTGTACTAAAAATAAATCTCAGATGAAAAACTTGCCCTAGATTTGTCAATCGAAAATTATAAGAGTAAGTAAAGCAAAAGTCAAAATTTTTACTACTTTCTTCTATAATAGCTTGTGATCCATTTTATTGTTCTGTGATATCGCAGCAAATGTTTTCATAATATAATTTCTATTTACAATTGTAATCGAACCTTTAGGTTTAATATCAGATTCTTCCAGTGAAATTTTTTTAGATATTTCTTTCTACTTAGTAACTGATTTAACATTTTTAGAAGTTTCAAAGTTTCTTCCGTTATAATTTGTTCTCCTTTCATTTATCTATGCTATCGTAACTAATATTTTTATAATATTATTGTTTCTTCCGTTATAGTTTTTTCTCCATTCTATTAATCTATGCTATCACAACTAATATTTTTATAATGTTATTGTTTCTACTGTTATAGTGGAAGATCAACTATGAGTTTCTTCAAATGAACTTATATTGGTATAGCTTTCCAGTTACTAACTGATATTATATTTTTGGTAATTTCTAACAAAATCGTTTGTTCTACATTCTATTATTTATAATGAAGAGAATGCTTTGGTAAAATTTACTTTTTCACTATTGTAGTCAAAGACGCAAACATCACAGAGATACATATTTTGCTCTACGCTACGGTGTGCATAATATATGTTAAGGAAAGTGCATACAAATGGGTCTGTATAAGCTTAAATTCGCATTTGTATCTATAGCTCGTATATGTTTATATGGGAAAAGTAGAGAGGAAATAATTTAAAATAGCACAGAATGAAATGCAACAAAAAAAAAGTGTATAAATAATATAAAAAATATTTGTAATTTACCAAAGAAAAGAAATCCGTACTAAAAGCGCTGAAGCATTTTTTAATTCCGCAAATGTTTTCTTAACGTTAAAATTCCATGAAAGGAAAAAGGGTGGAACTGATGCAGTTGCACTCGCAAGTTGTTGAAAAGTTTTTAATCAAATAAAAATACGAATCGAATTAAATCACATACACAACAGTGCCGTCTAAAGTAGAGTCTTTCCGAAATCTATGGCAATTATGGGTTTGTGTTGTTTGTTTTGGCTTACAATGAAATCGTAAAAAATCTAATAAAATTAAATGAAAATCATGTTTGACGTTGTGCTTGACTTGAACGCTGATTGAAACGTCAGTATGGCAGGCAGTTTCTTCACTTCTTAGTTTCATTTTACTGTATTTTTTTTTTTTTTGCTTCACTTCTATTTTCATGTTAATATTTTTTAATGATAAATTTTCATTTGACACTGCAGACAAACAAGGCATATCCGGCGCGCATGCAGTGGAAAGGAGTTAATTATCATGTGCGATTGAATGTCGTGAGAAAGCAGAATGAGTGTCACCAGCAAAATTAGCTGCGAACAGTGGAGTTGGAAGCATTTTTCTCACAGGTATTTTCCGACTATTTTCAACAACTCCATTTATACGAAGATGGAGTTATGAGCTATGGTTTTGGGTTTAGGGGTGATATTATGACATTAACGAGCAGCGGATGTCAGTGCACTGTAGTCAATACACACAATCTGTAAATATGTATACACTGTAGTACATACTTATAAGAATTGATCAGGATTAGCAGAACAACAAGAAGGGAATGTATAAAATATTTTTATAGCAATTGAAAGATAATTAAGTACATTTTAATTGATATTTATTATAACAGATTTGACGGGACCCTATGCTCCATTTAGTAGTGAAGGACTGCAGTAAGTAAGTAAATAACAGATTTGACAACATATTTTTCATACATAATTCATAATATTTTCATACCAAAAGTAATATTTTTGAACATTTTATAGAAATATACTTAAAGAGCTAAATATTCTTCTGCCAACTTTAAATATAATTAATATCAAATACTTTTTTTCTTTAGATAATTTTTTGAAATATTGTTTGTACACATGTGCTTTGGTAATACTTCAAGTACATTAATCCCTATGTACTGGTAAGACATGCCACTTAAACATTCAACAATCCTAAATTTGTCATTTCAAAATTTCATTAATTTTATTTGAGTTTCGTCTCTGTTGTGTTTTGTGACTTTTAATGCATTTTTATTTATTTAATTTGTAATATGAGTACTTCGCCTTCGTCCGTCTGTCTGTCTATTTGTCTGTCTTCATATTCGACATATTACATATTAAAATGATGTGAGATAGATTTTATGTGATTGCAGGTTGAGTCAGACTAGATGCTACTTTAGTTAATAAAAATTTTGTCATCACAAAGTTTTAGATCTTGTCAGACATGCAAACCAATTTATTTGATTTTAACAGCAAATTTAACCTTTTGGAATGAAAAAAAAAAAGTCAACATTGATATTACTATAGTTTTTTACACTTTTATACATAATCAACCTTTATGAAAACTATCAGAAATTCGGAAATTTTTCGACTTAAACTCAGCGGTTAATATAGACTTTTTGGCTTAAATCAGTGATTTACAACCTTTCTTTGACCAAGGACCGCTTTGGTATGCCTGTTTTTAGTAAGGACCACAAAGTTTAAGAATAATAAACTATATGATTATTTTAATATGCTTTATGCTACTCTGATATAGTATACAATGAATTGTATAAGTACATAGGTACATTATATTGACTGTAAAATAGATATATAATTACTTGAACATTTTTAGTGCTTATTTTCTAATAAGTGTAGTCTCAATAAACAAACTACAAACTATGTATTAACATATGAAACCACTACTCTATATGACAACTGCTAGGTTACACTCTTAGCAAAAGTTTGAAAAGAAAAATAACTACTAATGCTACATTATTATGGGTGATTCTTGATTTTGTGGTATCGAAAAACAAATTATCTTGCCGTTAATAATTTTCTTTACTTTTCTTGATTTTTAATACACTCAAGTTCATATGTTTTTATCTAATAAATAGTAGGAGATATAATTTAAATATGCTTTCAGTAATCTTGATGACCTCGATGATACAATTCTATATTTTCCATCATGTACCCCCTTTTTACGTTGCTCTAAAAGCTCAGAACTATGTACAATATGTGAAACAGGTATGAAAAATAAAAATATTTAAATTTAATTCAAATTGAAAATATAGAAAGTTATAATATAGTAATAAGATAGTTACTGTTTTTATACTCGAATATAAGCTTAGGCTGTCTTTAGTATTTTATCAATGAAATAAAATAAGATCAATGAGATGTTTTTCGCTTTCGAATCATATTTGTTACAAATTTTTTCATAGTAATATAATATATAATTTTTTTAAGTTGTTTTAAACTTAGCTTAAACGTCATGAGCAGTTTAGTTAACAGAGATGTAAATCTGATGCTGTTGATATACTTGAGATATATATACACAAAAATTTATTTCTGACTTCATAATATTATGACATAATATAAACATTTATTCTCTTATTAATAAAAAACTTAAATCAATAAACTTTGAAGAGTTTAACAAACAAGAAACCTGAAATCTGAGCTCAATATTAGAACTGCGACTTTAGAAAACTAATTAGCTTTTGTTGATCTAAGTTAGTAGTTTCAATTTGTCGGTTAAAGTCAAAGCAGTTTATAGTTTCCACGGCGGAAACTAACTTGCATAATTTTTCGCTATAATAAAATACTTGAATACTGTAATTACTCTGTGAATTATTTAAGATTGTTTATTTTAAGTCATATTGTGAAAAAAACATGATTTTAGTGAAAAAACAAACTATTGTAATTTATTTGATATTATTTAATTTACTGACTCGTGTTCATTCGCTACAACTCAATATCGACAGAGATGAAACATATGTTAGCGGAGAGTCACAGAGAGAGGTTGCCACTGGCAATAAAAATTCAAATGAAAAACTTTTGCGTATATCAAAAAGTAAAGAACCTGAAAATGTTCCGGGAATTTCTACTGTTTCCGACAATCCAGCTGAACAATCCGCTAACCAGGAAGTACTTTATCTCCAACATGCGCAAAATACCAGGTTTGTTTGAAATGTTCAATTATGCGTTCATACGTACATAGTCTATTTAAATGCTAATTAGTGGTAAGGAAAAGTTGCAAGTTGACACAACAACAAGAACAACAACCACACCAACTAGAACGGAAACAACAACAACAACAATAATACCAACGTCAACACCAATCAGCACAGGAACAACAACAACAACAACAGAACCAACTGCAACAACAACAACAACCACAACAACATCAGCAACAACAACAACCACAACAACATCAGCAACAACACCAATAGCAGCACCAAAAACAATAACAGCAACAACAACGTCCACAACAGCAGCAACAGCAACGACAACAACAACGACAACCACAACAACAACAGCAGGAACAACAACAACTACTACAACAACGACAATAATTCCGACACATACACTAAAAAATATATACACAAAACCTTTACCTCTATTGAATAAAGCAGAAAATGAAAATATACAAGAAATCTCTGCTGGTAATAGAAACTTTATGGACCGATCTCCAAGCAATACTTTTCATCCTACTGCTCACCAACAATATAATAAGTAATTGTCTAATGTATTTGAAAATCGCTTCTTAATATTAATAAAGTACATTTGATTTTGTTTTAGTGTAGAGATCCAGGAAAATTATGGTACGACTACAACAAATAGAGTTAAAAGTGTATATAGTAAGCCCTTAGCTTTGCTAAATCGTACAGAACCACAAAATATTCATGAAGTGCCAATTATTAATAAAAGTACTACTGAGAAACCTGAAAGAGAGAAATCACATAAATTTTCAGTCCCACAATATCACAGGTTGGTTGGTTTTGCATTTACTTTAAACGTTTCCCTAATATTCATGACATCTATTTAAGAAGTTATAGTGGTGAAGAAATACAGGACGATGAAACAACAAAAAGTATATATGCGAAAGAACCTAAAATAAAATATGTGTCCACTACCGATTTTCCACAATATCATAGGTTTGTTTCTAAAAGAAATCATTAAATATGTATTTATTTGATACTAATATAATCTACTTGGTTAAATTTTAGTGGAGAGACAACGCCGACGGATTGTAAATATTGTTGCAGTGAAGAAAAATTCCCGTGTGCACAATGTTGCGATGTTGGGCCAAACTTAAGTGAAGGGCTTCTTAAATCTTCAGGTGGTTAGTTTTGAATATATATTTTCAAAAATTTATTTGGAAAATAATAATGATAATAAGAAAAAATTCATTTAATTCTGAAGACAGAATCTGAAAATGAAACAGAAACATCAGTACAACCACTGGTTAATAGTTAAATAAGATATTTTTGCAATTTTACTTTATTTTAGTATCATTTTGTTTTTTTTTTAATGAATGTATTAGAATTAATCGGGACATATACACTATATCTCGTTTTAACAATAACTCAGCCATAACTTGACGGATGGCAGATCTTTGCATTCAAGTAGTCGAGAGTTTGATGATTGTCTGCATAATCACGGTGTTTTACTTATAACCCCACAAAAAAGTCCAGAAGTTAAAAAACACATAATATCGGTCCCCAACTTTCATTATCACAACGTAAAATTACACATACGGAAAATTTCTCAAGCAATAAAGACCATATAACTTCTGCATTTATATATCAAAAATTTCTCGGAAAATTTCTCAAGCAATAAACCCAAAACAAGACATTATATGTGGCTTTAATCCTATAAAGACCACATAACTTCTGCATTTATATCTTCTAAGGAATAAATCTCGTGATTGTAGCGATCACAATTTATAGTTTGTGTCACATATGCGCACTTTTCAAAAAAGAATACGTCAGACTTATAATACCTAAAGACCAAATAGTTCAATCACACGATGACTTTTTGTAAATTTTTTAGTATTTTAGTATTATCAGTTATTAGTCGGTTTTTACTAAGACAAATGACAGACATGAATATTTCTGTATATAGCTGCAAAACTAAAAACAATTCCCGTTTTTAAAAAAAATTGGATATAAATAATTGCCACCATATTTGTTGTAAGTTTGTAACAGATTTAGTGATTGTTAAACAATCCGTATAGTATAGTTTTAGACTTAAAACTACACATAAGACGTATGATAGAAAACTCTATAGAATTGCCTTAATGATAAAAAATGGTTTCAAGCATATGGTTATCACGAGAGTATCTTAAGAAATTGATTCCAAACGAGTCAAATTTCCACCATAGTGCTTTCGATGGTGGCGTATAGACCAACAATTTCAAATACCCTTCCATAAAAGTGGTACAATGGCCTTAGCTTACAAAATCGTCTGTTTCAAGAGAATACATGTCCATCAAACTCTTCTTCCAATAAGTCTAATTGCTACGTTAGAGGTATGACAACCTTCTTCTTAAAATTCTGAGGTTTAATTTGCCAGACTATGACATTAGGATGTTGGAAAGACACTATAGATTATTATTTAACTATGTATATAGTTTATCTCGTTATAGACGAAATGATAAATAGAGAAGTGAATCTGTAGTGTAAATATAGTTTCCGTAAAACTATGCTTTAATAACTGTTAATTACTTCAGAGAGTATAACAGCCGTTCGATTTTTTGAGCTATCAGTTCTAAAAAAAATAATTCCGTAGCTTTTATACTCTGTTTTGGACACTTATAATTACGACTACAGTTCGTTTGAAGCTACCACTCTAGTAAGTATGCTTTTTATTAAAAGTATATACATATATATGCATATATATTTATATGAATTTAATATTCTGTAAATAAATTAAATTTATAACTTTCTATAAATATACTTGAAGTGAAACCTTTAAAAAAAGTGTAACATTTTTTATGCTATTTTTTCAATGTCTGGGTTGGCGTTTAAAGCGCCTTATATACTTTGCAATTATGATAAAATTTAAATCTTAATTGAAAAAGTGCAATAAATCATATAAAATTATTTTTAAACAAAGTTTAAAAAATGTATGAACACGTGTAAGAAGTGTGACCCGAATTTTCTATAAACCAAAATTTCATTTTTATTTCACTCAATGAAGAAAAATACATAACTTAAAAAATTAAGCACAAAAACGAAAACAAAACTGTCAAGTCTTCGATAATTTTTTTCGATCGACGAAATAAAAGTCAAAATCTTCACGGGAGCTCCATTGGCTGTTGCATTAAAACATAAAATTAAAAATCCATAAAAAAAATATTGAGGAAAATTCATTTGCACACATCCAGAAAGAAGCCACAGTATCCAGCATAAAATGCTGCTATAATGCGTTTCCAGTTGCATTGAACCATAAAGTGATGCATTCGATGCTACTCATTGCAATTGCAATGCATTTCATTTCATTAATATTTATAGATACTGCATTTATTGGCGTTGTTGCGTGCTGCAATTTTTTTGTTGCATCTTTACTTTGAGCAAACAATTAATACAAATGTTTCAATATGCAGATATAAGATACTTTTTATGCTGCACTTAAAAGTCATGCAAATGTACACGGAAAGCAAATTACAAGCAAAGTTGACAAGTGCATTACTTCATTACTTAATGTGGAGAACAAGAAAACACTAAAGATACTTTGCATTCTACGAAGCATACAAAATGTGAGTATGAACTATTTGAAGAAATATTAGGTAAATTAAGTAACTGAAAATTGATGTGCACAAAAATATGCTCAATACGCAAGAAATATCTACGAAATTATAAACATAAAATTTATTTTTATCTTAAGTATCATTTCAATACGGCAGAGTAGAGTTAAAGTGCACAAGAGGTTGCTTACTTCAAGCCAAACTGCCAGCAGCAATGGCAGCAACGGCAGCAACGGCAGCAAGCACCAGAGATTGCTCATATGCCTTAATGGGTATGTATGGCTGCTGTTGCTATTCGTGCTCGTACGAATATTGCTGATGCTGCACACGCACTTTATTTCGTATCATCATCAACATGCAGCATCATCATCATCATCAGCAAACATCTTCCAACGACCAACAGAAGTGGAAAGGCACCGTCCTATCCATTGTCGTCAGCGTACGTTCTATAACATAATTTCCCTTAATATATATTTTTTTTTATATAAAATCATATTTTTTTTTATACTTTTTTATACTCTACATATATTTAATATCAACCTCTTTACTTTCGTTTATTTTTTCCCATTTTATAATTTTTTTTTGCCGTGTTGACAAAAAAAAACTATATACTTATTGTGAGCGTACACTCAGATACTTTTTTATTTTCTTAAAATGTTTTATTTATTATTTAATGTGAGATTTTTCAGTTTTTATTTATGATTTTTTACAGAATTTTCATAACATCATAAAAAAGAGTCAAACATAATTTCAGCATCTGTGCAGGAGGTGATTTTTCTATTTATTGATGACATGCGATTCAATGGTTTTATTTTCCGTTGATTTTCTTAATTTAAAAAAAAAGTCTTGTTTTTATTTTCATTTTGAGATTTTATTTTAATCTTAACCAATTAGTTGCAAGTCTATACTAATTATGAATAAAAAACAATAGTGCTGTATAAAGCACTACTGCGCACGTTTAGCTTAAGTAATAATTTATTTAATGCGCACTTTCGTTAATTTTTTTATAGCAGAAATCATTCATAGATTTCTCTCCACTTAAAATTCTTTACATACTTAACATTATTTGCATAATTTTCTTTGCCATTTTACAAAATGAATCGTCTAACAATAGCTGAACCTTTTAAAATTGTGCTAATTTACCATAAAAAAAATTTAGATTTTTCGCAACAAATTCTGCACTAATGTGGTTCTTTTACAATTTGTACATATGTCAACATCTACCATCTGAATCAGTAATAATCTACAACTGACTGTTATAAGATAATTGGATCTATAGTTTAGATATGGCATATATCTCTACATAGATGGTATTTGTTATAGAAGTGTGATAACACAGAACTTTTTTTTTAAATAAGGAAGGTGTGGTACAACCTATCATTTCTATCTATTATAGTTCCATGATTACATATTTTTTGACATAAATTAGAACATATGAATGTGGAAGATATATGTTTTCAATAAAATTGTACCACAAGTCACACAACATATCGTGTGTTGACTCTATTCGACGAGGAATTTCTCGGTCGTGCACCTTTTGGTTATATGAGTCGACGTTAAAATGATAACACCACTAAAGTATTATGTTGAGTAATACTCGTTTTGAAAATTAACTTCCGTCATCCATCAAGTTATGGCCAACTTATTGTTAACTAGTTGCGAAACAAACTTCGAACATTATGTCAAGAAGATAAACTAGTTCCAATGTTGTAGGATATCTCATCGGTGACATTTGAATGAATTTGAATTTCACACCCATTGGTAAGATTCAAGCAGTATAATAAAATAAAAACTTCAATAAATTTAATTACGTTTGTTTCATTTTATTTTTTAATAGCAAGAAATAACTCATAATCATTGAATTAAATATTTATAAGCAACTTATATATTTTTTGTAATTAATAAGGTATCGGAATATAGCTAAAGAATACACAATACCTAAAATATTGTTCACAGCATCCATATATTTTTGAGTTTTGCTTTGAGATATATGTTAGATGCTTTCCAATCTATTCATTACTTCTAATGTTTATATAATCATTAAAGCACATACAGATATAACTTTAACTTTAACAATAGGAAGAAATGTATAATTCCAAGTATTCCAAGAATAAAATTAATAGTTGAAGTAGACTCTGTGTATTCACGGTTACTACACGATCATAACAAACTCCACCTTTTAGCAGATGCCGAAAAATAATTTATTTTTTAAATCAAAACATGTGCCAATCTTAACTATGACAACTCAGATATTACATGGCACAATTAATAGTCTTTATATATATCGAACAATTCAAATTTAGCTAAACACCCAAAAATTTAACCAATATTGAAGAATCCAACCCAATGTAAATATTTTGAATAAGGACAACTGGAGAAGATATTTTGTCTCCCCAGCAAATAACTTGAGACTCACCTAGTAATACCTATGATACCCTGGGAGTATTTAACCTCTTTTCAGCCATCTGTGAATTAAATGATTTCTATAATAAACTGTTACAGTTTTATTCTGTCAACCGATTTCAATCCCGTCAATTCTTTGAAGTAGAAACCTTCCATGTAGTTAACCCTTTGTCTGGAGAGAGTTACATAGTAACACAATAGCTAATCGAGAGGTTTTCCCATACTGACTGCTTTTATAGAAGACTCTGTTGTGAGCATCTAATTTGATCGCACACTCACCTATAATTACAGACATGACCAGATCAACTCTACTAAATGTTAAACTTAAGAGGGAGGTTGTTCTCTTGTGACAGA